TGCTATGAAAAGTCCTTATATTTTTAAATACAAGACACTCCTTCAAAATAATAGGCAAAATAAAAGATTATCCTCTTGATGACTGAATAGAATGAAAGTGGACAATCATACTTACTCATGGATATTTGTGACAACACACTGCTACTATTTTTCTTTCCAGTTACTTGGATTTTCTAAGTAACACAGACCACAGTTTTTAACCAGATGCACTGCCACCACCCTGCCTGGAAAGCCTGCTGGATAATCTCTATTATTAGTTTCCTTGCCATTTGCTGCCCAACCCATGAAGCACCAAAAGCAGTTTTCTGTTAAAGAAGAATGCCATTACTGGAGCTGGGTATCTGCATGCTTCAAGATGGGTGAGGTTATGTTACAGTATGAAACAATCCCTGAATCTCAGGATTTTAATGCATGCGCACAAGGTATGCCCTCTGAGTTGTTAGGACTGTTTGGTTTATTCCATATCCTCCTCAGCTAGTTTCAGGTTTCTACAATGCCACCAGTGTTGCCCCATGAATATTAAATGCTTCTATATGGACATGCCACATTTTCTTTGGTCAAAACTAGTCACATAATCACAAGAAACAGGTGAGTGGAATTCCCTGGTATTGGTGGCTTAAATTTTTTTTGAGGTGGGGGTCTGGTCGTGGGGCCTGAACTCTGGACCTGGGCGCTGTCCCTCAGCTCTTCAGCTCAAGGCTAGCATTCTACCACTTGTGGTGGCTCAAATCTTTGGCCCTACCTTTTCAGGAGGCTGAGATCTGAGGATCAAGGTTCAAAGCCAGCCCAGACAGAAATCCATGAGACTCTTATCTCCAATTACCAGAAAAATGAAAAACAAAAAAAGTAAGTAGAGCTATGGCTCAAGTGGTAGAGCAGTAGTAGCCTTGAGTGAAAAAAGCAAGGCAAGAGAAAGAGACCTGAGTTCAAGCCCCAATACCAGCAGAAAGAGAGAGAGAGAGAGACAGAGAGAGAGAGAGAGAGACAGAGACAGACAGAGAGAGAGAGAGAAGAATTCTCTCTTGCATCTGGTAAGCTAACCCTTCCACTTTCTTCTGTTTTGCAAATCACATCTAAGGCTAAGAGTCCCTCCTTATTTGGAAAAAAATAAGAGTTTTGGAAGTATCATACAGACTACTTCCCACTAAAACATTCCAACTACAACTCAAGTGAGTAAAATAAAACAGGAAGCCAGAAGGCAAATGTGAATACCATATATCATAATATTTGTTTTTGGGGTCTATTCTTTTACATCAGACCCAATCCATAAAAATGGTCCTAGTTAGAAGCATGTAAGGCATCTACAAAGGATTTAGAGTCTTAAGACATTTATTCTCTTTAATTACCAAAAGGTCTGGGAAAATTGCTCTATTGCTATATTTTCAAATACTGCCATAATTCAGTCTCATCTCCAGTATGAAAACCTAAATGCCCCAGCAACCTCATCTTTGTACAATTACCAATGGCTTTATGGAGAAGATGCCTTTCACTAAGAGTTGAGGTCATGGAAGCTACTCACTTGCAAATGATATCATTTCTGCCAGGCATCCTGAGTTTACAGCAGCTACATAGAAGCAGGAGATAAATCTGCTAGAACATATTGCTCCTTGTGCAAGCTACAGTGCTGTTCAAACTGCTGGATGCAATCAGCCTGCAACTCATAAAAGATTTTCTCTGCAACACTCCTTCTCCAGCTCAGATTCTTTCCCCCACAAATCGCTTTCCTAACTAGAGCATCATTGAAAGAACACACTGATTTTTCCAGTGGATGGTATATATTCAGTAGCTATTCTCTTTTATTTAATTTTAAACTTTGCCAATGATTTGCACACTTTTATTTCCAGAGATGAAAATGAAAACAAATGACCTATATATTTGCTAAATCTTTTCTATTTGAAAAGTAGAAACAAAAAGAAAGAGATTGCTTTTCACTAACTTCTGCAATTTAACTTCTTAGATAAGCATTTTCTCTTTTTAAAATCACTTTATCTTTTAAAATCATGGTATTGTTTCAGCTACTCACGGAAGCTGAGATCTTAGGATCCCAGTTCAAAGTCAGAAGGGTACAAAAATCCACAAGTCTCTTATTTCCAATTAACCAGAAAAAAAAAGGCTGGAAGTAGAGGTGTGGCTCAAGTGCTAGAATGTTAAACTTGAGCATCAATGCTCAAGGACAACATCCAGGCCTTAAGTTCAAGCCCCCGAACTAGCGTGCATGCGTGTGCATGCATACACACACACACACACACACACACACACACACACTTGAAAGTGGAAGTATTGCTCAAGTAGTGGAGGGCCACTACATTTCAAGTGAAATGGCTCAGTGACAGTGCTCAGACCTTGAGTTTAAGCCTAAAGACTGGCATGCACACACACACACACACACACACACACACACACACACACACACATCATAATTAGGAGCCACCAGTGCCCAGTTCAATGATTATTTTTGATACACTGAAATTACGATTACTCATTGGATGTTTGTTGTGACATACACCAAAAATAAACCTACTTGCATAAAGGAATTTGATAATATAAGGGTCTGAGGACTAAGGAGTAAAGGAAATCCATGAAGATACTTCAGGAGAAAAACTAGCATGCACTGTGATTAGCAAGAACTAATAGTGCTCAGAGGAACCTTCAGATTTTGTACACATGGCTCACGTTGGCAAAAACTTAACCTTGACTCAGCAATGAACTGACTGTGACAATACATTAACCAATACAAAACTCTGTATATGGACATAGACAATGGAAATGATCTCTAAACCCTTTTGATATTAAAGTCTAGCTCTTTCCAAACCTGTAAAGAATCCTTGGAGCAGGGGGCTTCTTAGAACTGGCTTACATAACACAATAAGCCAAAGAAGAAATTGAGATAATACTTTGAATATTTGCACATTAATGTATCTTTTATTTTCAAAGAATTATTCTCTTCTTGTGGTTAATGGTCTTGGAGATCTATGCCTAAAATAATAGCACCAACCTCAAAAGGCTGTCCAGATTAACTAAGTAAATATATAGAATGTTAAGTCCTTAACCCAGTGCCTAGAGCAAAATAGTCCATCAGTAAATATTTGCTCCATATTGTACTTATATGTGTGTTTATGTGTGTGTATGTATGTATGTATATGTATGTATAAACATGTATATGTGTATATTGTATATATAAACATACTATGGAACACCATAAAATAGGTCATATTTAGCCAGGTACTGGTGGCTTACACCTATAATCCTAGCTACTCATGAAGCTGAAAGCTATAGACTGGTTCAAACCCAGCCTGGGTGGAAAAGTCCATGTAAAAGTGGAAGAGTGGTTTGCATGGTAGAGTGCTAGACTTGAGCAAAACCATTCAGGGACAGATCCCAGGCCTTGAGTTCAGAAAAGAAATTAAAAAGAAAACAAAGAAAACCACAGAGACAAGGTCCAGACAAAATCTGCAAAAGTCAAATTCATTTTCACATTACTGAAAAATCTGCTTTTGTTTACCTGCTAAGAATTGAGTTCAAAATGTCATATATCTTGGGCAGCATTTAATGACAGGGCTAAAGCACAAAAGGTAATAAGAGTGTTTATTCACACAAAGAATGTTATTTTGCAAAATTTTCACATACAAGTAAGTTTTAGAGTAATCAGGTTTTTCTTGCATTTCAAAAGGTAAGTGAAACTGGGGACTCACATCTGTAATTCTAGCTCCTCAGGAGGCTGAGACCCAAATATGGACATTTGAAGCCAGCCTGGACAGCAAAATCCATGAGGTTTTTCTCTCTCATTAACCAGAGAGACGCTGAAAAGTGGAGGTGTGGCTCCAGCCTTGAGCAAAAAAGCTAAGAGACAGCACCTAGGCCCTGAGTTCAGGTCCCAGAACAGGCACAAACTCAAACCAAAAAACAAACAAGGCAAGTGAATAGGCTAGGATCTTCCAGGACAAGCTTTCACAATTAAAAGCAGTACTGAGTATTCCTGAACGTAACTTCTTACCTATCTGGGAGAACCAAAGTGCCGGGGCAGTGCCCCACACGGGTATACAATCCCCTCTCCTGTGGTCTCTGCTTCTCTATCTTCCATTTTACCACATGCAAGTACCTACAGATGATATTGACTGCACAGAAAGTCCTGTAACATATGGACTGCTATTTATTGCATGATGGCATTGACACAGAGAAAGAATCTATGCAAAGAAGCAATGCCAGTGAGACATGGGGTACACAAAGAGGTTCCTTGTCAGCATATCCTCCTCAGAGCAAAATCACAACTTTCTGAGAAAAACAACCAAATCATGAACGTAAAAGAGGAAGGTGACGGGGAAGGAAAGACAGAGAAAAAGGGGGAGCTAATAAATAATAATAGAGGAGAAAATAGGATCAAAGTACCTTACATGTTTGGGTACAAGTCATAATAAAAACTATTACTATGTATAAATTAATGGGACACTGAGCATGTATGTGTATATGAGTATACATACATATGCACATATACATATGTACACACACATACAAGGGACACTTTTTAGTTTTTGTGCCAGTTCTGGGGCTTGAATTCAGGGCTTTGTGTTCTTGTTTGGCTTTTTCTCTCTAGGGGTCCTTTATCACTTGAGCCACCCTTCAGCTCTGACATTTTTACTGATTAACTGGAGATAAGAACTGGAGATAAGATAAGGGTCACTTTCATATATCATGTTTCAGTGATTAAAAACTGCAATTCATCACTTTTTGGGATTTTTGTTTGTTTGTTTTTGTCTTTGCTGAATTAAAAACCTGACTCCATCTGCTCCTCACTGTACTAGCAAAACTTCTAAGTGTATATGTGATTAAAAATACGCAAGTAGAACTTAATTCACAAATAACTTAGAGAAAGATTTTAATGTTACACAATTGCCTCTCTCAATAAAAGTCTAGATGTCTGAAGAAATCGCATCCAACTCCAATTTTTAAGGGAATGAGACAAAGCAGAATTAAGTGCATGAGTGAATGAAATGATTTCCTACCAGAATAAAGTGATCCTAACATTTCCTTTCTTCCAGAAAGCTCTTGCAGATTTTCCCCAGTCAGGATAGGGTTTATCCTGCAGCATCATATCAGTGACCTGTAGTAATGAGAGAAACTTATTTAGTACTTTGGATATATTAAATTCAGATTTAAGTATTCCCTTGTAATTGACCTTCTGAGCAGAATATGTGCATATTTTAATATTAGATTAAAATTAGAATATACTTTATTCAATTAAAAACTTCATATTGAAGGAGCACATTTGAGGTCACTCAGTGTGTCAGATACTGAAACTAACTTTTTTAATGTGTGTGTGAAAATACCATACAGAGGGGTTAAAATTACACGGGCAAGGTAATGAGTACATTTCTCATCAAGCATTGTTGCTTCCTCCTTTGTTTCCCCATACCATCCCTTCTCCTATCCAACCCCTCCCCACTCCCCCCACCCCCCCCCCCCCC